TGTCAGAAAGCGGTGACTTTGAAAGGAAAACGAGAAGTTTTTTGTTGCCATAGGTTAAACAAGGATGCAAATAGGCATTGCAAATTATCCCATTCTCAAGACCAGCTTTCCGATTTTATGGTGCATTTGAGACCTAAAGATGTCGCTGAAGTAAACTAGCCTGCAGTCATGGCAAATCATTTTGTTAACCCTTCCTCAATTACCTCCCTACAGGCGTTGATAATAAGCTATCGAAAGAAGGTTCAAGGCAGGCAAGATCTAGAGGAGGCGTTTGGTGCAGTTGATGCGCTAATGATTGAAGTGTCAACGTACTTCGATGCAATCGAGTCGGACCTCGGCTCCGCTAAGGTGGATCTGGTTAAGCGTGGTATAGCAATGTTTGAGGTGATTTTAGGATAGCTTCATTGTTTTACTAAGGTTAGCAAGACGCCCTCTTGCACCTGCCTATACTGTTTGACAGGATTTAGACCAAACTTTAAATGCAAGGCTGCCCAACGACATGAATCATCTTCGAGAAGTAAAAGATGCCATTAATTGCCTTATTCCGGAGCACTTGGAAAGATCGCAGTTGATTGGCGAGTTTGAAAATAAGGTGAGTTTGATTTGGTGGTTTGCGGTTCTGCCTCCATTGAGAGAGACGACCACTTTGTCTTCATTTAAGGTGGCACTCGCGGAAGAACGTTATGCGATGCTTCTGCGGCGTAAAATTACAATTGAGAAAGAATCAAAAAAGGTTTTAGCGCGACTTCAAAGTTTCGAAGAATTCACCGATGTCCTGCAAAGTGTTGTTTCAAAGGCCAAAGCACAACTTTTAATTCTTAAAGATGGACCAAAAGTGTATGGAAAATCTGCTCCGAAGGATCTTGAGACAATGAAATCATGGCACTCTGACTGCGACGTAAGGCGACGATTTTAGTGCTTGATGAATAGTAATGAGTTCAAGCAATAGCCTGACAGTTATGACTTTAGGATCTCGTCAGTCTGATCAATTCTTGTCAAAATGAGGCCAGAGGGCTGCAATTGCTTTTGAGTGATTCGGACCTCAAAGCACCACCAGGATGCGTGGAAGTGCAGAAGGAGTATGACGAAGTCCACGGCGAAATAAGTGTAAATTGTCACTTACTGACTCAATACACATTCTAGTTAAACCAATTAAAGTAAATCTCTCAATCCCTCAATCGAAGTAAAGAGACTTAATGTGGTTTGAAATTTGAGTGCTTGCCATTCAGTTGCACAACTGCTAAAGTTACTGTCCAGGTACTCTACAAAAGTGAGCATAAAGTCTACACGCTAACTTCCAGACAAAAGACTAATTGTTGTTTTGTAAAAATGATGATCAACTAACTTAAAATATCATCAGCATGTTGGCGACAATTTCCATTTCAGCAACAAAAATTTTTCGCTGATAAACTTTTAAGTAGAAAGTTTTTGCGACTCGTGTGAATTTTAACATATGAGAAAGGCTTGTTGTAGTGACAATTGCATGAACAAAAAGGTGTTTCACTTTAAAGAAGTTGACATCCCTTGCACAAAAGTCAAGTGAGCAGCTAAAATGCACACTTTGTGAGAAAGGGATCCTGCAGAAAATAAACACTAACAGAAGTTCTAATTTTGCATCCCTTTTGCCCTTAAGAAACTTCTCACAAAAGCTGGAGCATTAACTGCCGACTTTGCATTGTTCAAAGAACACGAGAATGCAGTGGAGCTCGCTCTGCAAGAGATCAAACTGCCCACTAGCAAATCACCTTATGGAAGCCGACAAAACCTTCGAGCTTCCTCTGCCGCCGAAATGTCGAGACGCACAGTAGAGATTGAAAACCAACTCCATGTTAAACCAAGAATTACCGACATCCTCCACGAAATGCAAGCCTGTTGTGAAAGGGCTTCTGCCATTGGATTGTTTGGTGACATTGTTCAACTTTTGCATAGGGAACTGGATGGGTTGAAGAAGAGAAGTGACTTGGCATTTGCAGCTCTCTTGTCAGAACAGGATGAGGTATGTCGAGGCGAACTCTTTAACCACTCGATTTTTCTACAACTCATTTTCTTTGCTTCAGATAACAAAGAGTTTGAAAGCACAATCAGAGATGGAAGACACTCTCCAAAGTGCGGAGGATTGGCTAGCACTGATGGAAAGTCAAGTTAAACTATCGTCCGTCGAGTCTTCTGTGCTTCAAGAAAACATTCATTTTTATCAAAAAGAACTTACTCGTCTTACAAATCTTTATAAGGAAATATCTTCAACTGGATCGCAACGCATCTCTAGTCTTCTCTCAAAGAAGGAGGAATTGTCAGATGAGGTCATTCGCGAGAGAAAGCGTCGGTTAAAAGTGCGGTACAATGAGCTAATGAAAATGGCCTCACAGGAGCGGGATCAAAGCTCTAAAGCGCTGACGGCGTGGAATGAATTAGAAATTAGTGTGAATGCCTGCAATGCGCTCTTGAATAGTGCTGAGGGCAGACTCGACAGAGCCGAAGATGGCAGTGTTGACCAAGAGGTGGAATCGTTGAAGGAAGCTCTTCAGACGATGTCGAGAAAGGATCTGCAAAATCAGCGGATCCTTGAGGTTGTTGACACCACTAAACGCACTTTTTAGAGTTCATTTTACAGGTGCCACTTAAATCAACCGATATTAGCTTCGTAGCATGTCTATTTCGAGTATCACAT